GCAGGAACAGCAAAACAGAATGAAGGGCTCACCCCTGCACCAAGGTCACACATTTAAATGTATTTCTCATAAAATCCCCAGTCACTCAATTTAAACCTTCACCTAGCTGACAAACATTGCTAAGCCCCTTCTACCATGTCAACTATTATTTTAACTTAAATACTGGTACATGGATTTCCTTGTTTTACTATTCCCTCCCCATTCTTTCCCCCCTTTCATATCATATCCATTAGGTTGTGAGCCTGCTGCAGGATTTTTTTTAAAAAAAAACAGTACATATATCATAGTAAATCTTAGTCCTTTAATACAATACAATGATAATAATTCACCACTGTAATTTATTAAAGTGTCTAAAACTTCCTAAGATTTCTGTAGTTTTCATAACCAGCCTTTCTAAGCTTGCGAGAGAATTTGACAGAAGAGCTTTTTCAAAAAAGGGTGGTGGGATTTCTCCTTCAAATTATCTGAGAAACACAAACCCAAGCCATAAGTTGTTTTAGGAGCCATTTCTCAGAAAGTGCAATGGCAAGGTTTCAGCACAATTTTAAAGAAACTGAAAGATTTTGTATCTTTTACTGAGCCATCAAACCAAATGGAAACTGTAGCTAAGAAATCAGAAGAACACTGAAATGTAGGAGGGCAGCTATGAAGGAAGTAGAGAAGATAATCAAGTATAAAATATGTCACTGAAGACCAAGGCCAAGATTATCAACACAGTTGTATTTCCAAGTGTACATACAGATGTGGAAGTGGACAGTGAAGAAAGCCAACAGGATAAATAAAGATCATTCAAAATATATTGCTGAGTTAAGCTATGCATACACCTTGGATTGCCGGAAGGACAAACAAGTGAATTCTAGATCAAATCAAGCCTAAACTCTCTCTAGAGGTAAAAATGGAAGAACTGAAGCTGCCATACTTTGGGTGCCTCAAGAGAAAAAAAAACACTTGCTAGAAAAAACAATAATGCTGGGAAATTTGAAGACAGGTAAACTGGAAGATCAAAAACAATGTGCATTGACTTCATAAAGGAAGCAACATGCTTGCGTTTGCAAGAGCCGAGCAAGGCTGTGAATAATAAGACATCCTGGAGGTCTCTCACTGATAAGATCACCACAAGTGAGAGGTGAGGGCACATTATAACAACATTAGTTCATCCTCACAGGATTCCTCGGGAGGTTACTACACTTTCATTTTAAGAGCAGGGGAGCCAAAGTTGAGAAACTTTTACTCAAGACCCTATCCTCTCAAAATTACAGCTAATTACAGTGGACAATCAAGCTCTTGGACATTTATCTTAAGCAGAAAGGGTATTTACCTACAACATGCTGAAATGCATATGCAAACACAAAGGTGAAAATATATTGTTCAGTGTAATGCATGCCTGATGTACTTTGAAAATATATTGAACAACACGAGGTAGTCATCTACTATCCATATTTTATAAGTGGAAATCTTAAGGAAAACAAATAGTACTAAGTTTCAAACCTAAAATATAATTTTATTTTCTATTATCTCCTCCACAAGCATAAGGGACATATAATTCGTCTCAAAGAAGATGTACATGTTCTAAAACATCAGAAATATTAACTTCCCAACAAATGCTGGAAGCTTAAGAATCCCTGCCCTCACTGCCTGAAGTGCATCACATATTTACAGAAAAATATCTGAACAATATCAAAGAAAAACAAAGAAATGCAGACCAGTGGAAAAACAGTATTTGGCATACCAATATTAAATACTCAGCTGAAAAGATGAGGTGCCACATTACACAAAATATCACATATTTTCTTGAAGATGTTACACAATGCATCATCAACAATGTGCACCATGTTAACATGGTATTAACAGCATAGCTAGATTACATTCAAAAGCTCCATACTTCTGACATGATGCTATGTTCAAACACTCATAGTAAGGTAGGAAAGACTAGTTTCCTGAAGTATAAGTTGTAAGTTGACATTAATGAAATTGATTTAATATGGAGTGTGGCCTTGGGAAAGCTGCACAGTCCCAGGATGTCGCCAGAATAAGGGAATGGTAAGCCATTTTTAGTACTCTCTACCTAGGAAACCCTGAAAAGATTCACCATAAGTCAGAATTGACAGCACACTATTATTATTATTAAACATTAAATGAATATAATGTCATTTAGATGCTCATGGTATTTCTTTAAGAACTGCTATATAACAAAATCCTCATTTGTGTACACTTCAGAGCTCCATTTATATTCACGTTTGAGTTTGAGTACAATCTTACTTGCATTCTTCAGAAATAATCTCAACTGAACTCAATTGGGCTCTTTATGTCAAGAGATAAAGGCTACAATCCAAAATTCAGTCTCCTAGGAACAAGCTCCACTGAATTCAATGACATGTCAACATGAACAGACATGCACATGATAGTGCAGTAAATTCACCTCATACTAAATAAAAGGTCAGCACAAATGTAATCACTTATTTAATGAAACAGAATATTGGCTTCTAGAATTACAATAAGAAATGTTCTAAATTTCAGTTTCCTTGTTTTATTACTGAAACAATATTTTAGATATCAATTCACTTTCTAATTCTTATAACAATATTGTAATTAAAAGATCAATAACATTCAGTTGATAAATAAACCTGTGTTCTTTCAGACAAAGAATGATATCATTTTGGGGGCAGTAGTTTACATAAAATGCATAAGATTTAGCATTCATTTATATGTGAGAACACTGTACCTTCTCATGGTATAGGCTTAAATTAAATACAGACATTAAAACATTTTTGTAACATAAAATACAGCTGTTATGTCATAAAATCATAGTGCATGAACTCAATTCAGGAATTACAGTACTGATTTCACTATCAGTTTTCTTTTTCACTATTGAAGCCTCACAGTGTCCACAGGTTTAAACAGCAAATAAAATATGGCCAAAAATCATAAGGCAAATGAGTTGGTAAATAAAATCAAGAAGTTCCACTGAGTTCTACTGTCTTGCTGATCTTTCTCGACAAGTCAGTCCAAAACTCTACATTCTTGCTTTATGCTGATCTACATACAGTAATGGTAGAAAACAATCACATTCAGAAGACCTAACATTTGAGACACTAAACAATATGGAAATTAAAACAATTACCTTGGCTTTTTCATCACTACTGTATAGGGGAAACTGTCTACTTACACTACAAGCTATCAAGATGGCAAAAAAAAGTAATATGAAACGTTTAAGTAGGCATCATCAGCTGATTTAAACATTTCAAGGCCAACTCTGCTACTGCGAAACACCGGGTCTGGTTTCACAGCCTTGGGAGACAAGAGTTCCAATTAATTAGTTAATGGACTTCATCAGTTCAAAGTCAAGATTACCGTGGTAAGCTTCTCCAGTTATTGTTCAACCCTACCTACTACACCATGCCAGACAGGAGGCTACGGTTCTCTTAAAGGGAAAAACAACTTTTCAAAAACTCGAATGATGCCGTGATTTCGAAAGTATTTTCTTAAAACGCATCCGCCACCTTTAACTTCAGGAGGCGCTCCCTTTATTTCCTGGTTCTTCCACGGAGGCTAAAAAGCCACGATGCGCTCCGACGAGCACCCGGCTGTTCCTCGGGAGAGCCTCCCATCTTCAAGATCACCATTCCCTCCCCTGCCTCCAAATTCCCTCCCAGAAGCAGCTTCTTTCGGCTCGCAGAACCCCCGCCGTCCCCGCCCCTTCCTCATCATGCGCACACCCGATTCCGCCATCCGTACCGGTTAGGAAATCATCATACTTCTCCCTCCCCCTATTTTTCCTACTTCATTGCCCCCCTCTTCTCAACAGCACTTCAGTCTCGCAGCCACACCTGACAAGCGGTGGCCCTAGGATGGGGAATCAGGGCAGAGGGGGTGGAGACCAGAAAAAGGAAGGGGTGGAAGCCCCGTCCGGTAGGTTTCGAGGCAGCCAGCCGGCTTTTATTGTCGTAACCCAAGAGGAAGAGAAAGCAGGGTGGGGATGGAGTATGTGGCTCTTTAGGCTGGCTCGCCCTTCCCCCCCCCCGCCTCCCATCTCCTTCCTTCCGGACACAAAGGCCACCGAGGAAAACACGGAGAGGACCGAAAAGCCCAGCAGCGCCGGCGTGGTTCCGATCCCAGCGCAAATCACACGCCAGAAGTTTTCCCCAGGCTGGCTGAGAGCGGAGGGCCGAGCCGTGCCTGAGGGAAAAGTTAAGCCCTCTCTTCCCCCTCGCCTTCCTCCTCCTCTTCCTCCCTCCCCCAGGAAGGAGAAGGCAGGGGGAAAGGCTTGGTTGTTGTTGTTTTTTTTCTTTCCTTCGCCTTCCCCCTGCCCAGGAGGCGGCTCCGACGGCCAACTCCGCATGACCCCTCTTTTCCACACCCACCCAGGAAGGGGAGCCGAGAAAGGCAGGCGGGGAGGCCAAGAAAACAGGGTTCGGGGAGGGGCTGTGGGGGAGAAAACCGAGGCGGGGAGGCTGAGGCGCCCACCTCCCGGCTGGAGCCCCTTGAGCTGCACGACTTCCCCGGCCGCAGCAC